GGGTTGGTCGCGCCCGGCCGCACGCAGCCCCGGCCGGAGGCGAGTGCGCGGCCCCGGCGGAGCGCGGGCGAACGCGAGAGAGCGCCCTCCTCGGGCGGGGCCGGGCACTGCCGGCGGAGGCACCGAACCGCGGCACCGCAGCGGCGTTGCGGCTGGAACGGACCTCTGAGACCCAACTGTGCCCCGTGCACTGCTTGTCACCCGGCCCAGAGCACCGAGTGCCGCGTCCAGTCGTTGGACACCTCCAGGGATGGGCACTCCAAACCTCCCTGGGCAGCCAAGGCCTCACCAGCCTTTCCATGGGGAAATACCTGCTGCTGTCCCCCCTGAACTGCCCTGGCCCAGCCTGAGGCCGTTCCCTCTCCTCCTGTCCCTGTTCCTGGGAGCAGATCCCAAATCCCCCCGGCTGTCCCCTCCTGCCAGGGACTTGTGCAGAGCCAGAAATTTCCCCTGAGCCTCCTTTGCTCCCCCTGAGCCCCTTCCCATCTCCCTCAGGGATTCTGCAGCCCTTCCCATCTCCCTCAGGAATTCTCCAGCCCTTCCCAGCTCCCTCAGGGATTCTGCAGCCCCTTCCCAGCTCTGATCCCTTCCCTGCACATACACCCCTCCCTGAAGCGAGGGGCCGGGCCGGCCGCTGGCGGTGCCTCAGCCCAGGGACAGGCCCGCTCCTGCGGCCGCGCTGTTCCTCACGCTGCCCACTGCCGCTCTCATGAGCGGAGAGAGGAATGGCCTGTTGTGACATTCAGTGTGGTTTGCAAAGAAGAAAGGGAAATTAATAAAATGGAAAGTAGTTGAAGGGTAAGGAACAAGAATGAATAAGGTGAATGGATTCACTGGCAAACCAGAAAGGTTTCTGAAAAGTCAAGTATGAAAATTGCTGCAGTCCATGGCCAGGTTAGCCAAGATCCACACAGCATGGCCTTGTCAGTGTTACACTGATAATATTTTTGTGATGTTGAATTAGAGCTGAACAATATTCCAGTATGCTGGGCACAAACACACTGATAATTTTATTGTGTCAAGCATGGACATATTCCTTTTTTTCCTTCAAGAAAAACATTTGCCACAGTTAAAAGGAATTCCCACGTGCCTTCTGTTAGTGTGTGCAAGCGCCAGCGCTGTGGGACCCTCCCGGTGTCCGTGTGCCTGGCTCCAAAGACCTGGACAGGACAGATGGAGCAGGCAGTGGAAGAGCAGCAGGCTCCTGCTCAGTGCTGCTGTCGCCTGAGAGATTTGGGTGATTCTCCCCTGCTCTGTCACCTTCACCATTACACACTTCACTGGGAGGATCCCCATACAGGTCTCAGTGGTAGTAAAACCCTTAGTGGCTTTCCTTGTGGTTCTTCTGTTCTCACTGCAGGTGATCTTACATATTTTTCATATTTTGCCATTTAAAGATCATGCACCAGTCATGTGAAGTATCTCTCACACAATCCCTCAGCCTCTGGACTAAGGGCAGAAATGCTCCCTCAAGTAATAGAAGACTTAAAAAGAAGCTCTTCTGGAGTGTGACAGTTGTAGGTATCCAGTGAAAATAACACCACAACATTCTCTTTGCTTGTATCTATAATTTTAAATGGTCAAAAGGCGGTGCTTCCCACAGATGGTGGCTGAAATCTGTGTCTCACTACCATGCACTAAACCCCTAAATGCTTATGGAGTGCACACAGTCACACACGTGCTCACACCCAGAAATGAATGTATGGCTGGATAAAGATGTATATTAATAGGTGTATGTGTGTGTTTAAGCTTTAGAAAAGCCCTGACGTAAACTTTAAAAGTAAACTTTAAAATGGCAGTGTTTTTCAAAAGAAAGATGTAGGAATATGAAAGGGAGCCAGTTTATTAGTATCTAGAGTGCATGGGTTCAGGTATCTCAGCCTTTAATAACATTAGGTGATTACTGTTGGAGACTAAAATCTAGCCTGGGATGCCATTGCTCTAACAAGCAGGGCATCTACCCAAGCATCAGGAGTCCAGACTGAGACTGTTTGAGGGGAAGTCAGTAGGAAAAGCTCAGGGGACTGTTTTTTTAGCTTCACTCTCACCCCTCAGTTGGTATTGATCTGCAGCACGGCCTTGTACAAGTTCCTTTTCATTGTTTGATCTTCATTTTTTCCTCTCCCATCCAGCATCTGCCTTATCTGCAGATGCAGAGAACTGTTGAGGGCTCTACTCACCATTCTTTTGTGTGTTGAGTTCTGCGACCTGAATTTTCCTCAGGCCATGTGATACTGTCTTAGCAATAGTAACATACTGGCATAGTAATGAACAAGTGATAAGCAGTTTATTTATCCCTAGGGTCTTTTCAAATTTGAAAATAAATTTAGGTGTTACTAAAAACTGGATATCCTAAGAGTGCACTCTGTTTCTGATGACTCTTATATCAAATCCTGCATTAACATCATAAATTTTAAAATAACAGTGGTATCAGAAATTCCTTTCTTTAACTGTAAACTGTACATTTTCCTTTTTATGAAACTCGTGGTTCTAGACAGTAAGACATTTACTCAAATTATTCTTGTTTTTAAAACTCCTCTAAATTACCCCAAATGGTCTCAAACCCAACTGAGATGCAATTGTAATTTGAATTTCAAGTTCTTTTGAATTTCAAGTTGTAAGACACAAGACCTGGAAGACAAATACCAGGTTACAGACTGCTGGAGGGGAGAAGGGCACAGAAAATGGCAAATTAGTTATTTTAATGTCTAAGTGGGATTTTTGCATTTATAAAGGCCACTAACTATCCAGAGAACCATGAATATTAGCTTCAGTCTTTAGCTTCAGGCTCTCCTTCAAGTTTCACGTGACAAATAGCACAGTTTTCATCTCCCCAGACTCTAAAAAAAATTGCTCTTTTTGTCTTTGTAGTGTTTGTAGTCTTCTACATGGAAAATAATAGGCACTAAATCCAACAACTAATGAAAAAAAATCATAGGAATGACATGTGAGAAAAATGGACACTTTCACACATTGAAAGTACAAGTAGAAATGAATAAATGTTATGAAATATCATCAGCTGTTTTTAGCCAGATCCTGACCCCTTTCACGTCAATGGCAGTCAACCCATCATATGTCAATGGCAGCTGTGTTTTCCTTTACTGAGAGATGTTAAAATCCAGGATGTACATTTGTACAGACCAACAGACAGGCCTTTAGCGTATTAGGCTCTCCTTCACCATGGGCACCTTTACTTTTTCTGTAGATCTTGTGCTGCACCCAGTTGTGGTGTTTGGATAGGAGCAGCTCCTCCAGTCAGAACAATGTGTCAAAAGCTCTGTGCACACCAGTAAATAGTAAATAAACAGTGTAAATAAGGAGGGAAACGACAGCATTCTGTGGAATGGAGACTGCTGCTTCACTGGGGGTCTGAGGCGATCTGTTGGTCGAGGAGTTACTGCCAATACCTTCTGGGCTATATGAGCCCTGTATGGCTTTCATCTGTGTGATTTTGCCTGTTCCTATTTACACAGTGGTTCTCAGCCTTGCTGACTGCTGTGTTTTGAACCATTTGTGGTTTAGAGGCAGAGGGAAGAGAAGTATGAACAAAATCTGATCTGCAAATCTAGTTTGGGGTTGTCGTACGTTCTTGATGCTGAAAAAGAGCTGTGGATTTGGAAGACATCAAAAGGCAACTACCATGTTTTGGCACAAATGATGAATTACTGCTGCAAGAACAAGGCTTTTAGGGAAGGCAGAGCAGACCTGGGTTTGGGCCATAGTTTTAAAGCCAGGAAATCAATCCTGGCTTTAGGATAAATAAGTCAGGTTGGTCTGTCTTTTCTTTCTCCATTTGAATGTGAAACAGTTTGTAAACTGTTGCTATTTAGCTAATACACTGGAATGCAGTGAAATTTAAAGATATGCAATGTTTCTTCAATTTGATGTATAAATAGATTATGGCATTTTCAGCATTCCAGTCTTATGATCAAGTGGAATCCAGATCAGGTTTCATTTAACCTAGTAAAGAGAGAAATGAGAACTGTTTTAGATAGTTCATGCAGCGTTCAGCAGCATATTCTCTCATGTATTTCAAACTCATACTGAGTAAAGTGGGATATCAGTATTGGAGAAAATCCACATCTCTTTGATAGATGTAGTGTATCTGAAGTCTTTCTGTTTGGCATGGTTTTATTTTAATGGACATTTCAATAATTCATTGCTGGATTTCTGAGAATCTAGGTTGCTCATTTTCTTGAAAACCTCTTCCTTAAACAGTAAGTAATCACTTTGCTTTGTGTAGAAACCATTCTTTAGACTTTTTACCAGCTTTATCAATTACCTCTCAGTGTTAAAAGCATGAATAATGGCAGAGCATTTGTTTTTCATATGTTGTCTAAGCAAAAAAGACAACATACACAAACTTCAGAGAGCTTGTCAGATACTTTAAATAAGTACTATGTGGCACAATCTGATCTATAGTTACAGATCCATTTTCAGGACTGATTTCCTAAAGGACTTCTGTAATACTTGGGGTAGAAGACTAAGAGGAAGTGTGGAGAGGAAAGATGGTCTGTTTTTAAGATGAGAGAGGAGTTACAGAGTAGACATTAAAGCCATTGCAAGTCCATAATAATAAAAATAATGTTGGCCTATTTAAACAGACTTCCCAGAGAGTCCTGATTGTTTGGAGTGGTGGCATCTGTGCTAACAAGCTGAGACAACATCCACTTGCCTCAGGTATGTGGGATCCTCAGGTTCAAAAGGGAATGTGTACCTGCACCCCTCACATTTCCCTTCCAGAAGTGCAATGCCCTTCCTTCCCCTTTTACTGCAAAGAAGGAATTCAAAAGCAGAGATCAGAGCTGGATAAATAAAGGTGTGGGAAAACTTTTACATATATAAGTTCTGAGCAATTTTTGACAGACTATTGCTACCACATCATGTAGGACATGAGACAGCAATCAGACAAAACTGGTTTCTTGGCCTTATTCACATAAACATGCTCCAGAAAACTCACAGTCTGGATTAGCTCTAACTTTCCTACAAAAGCACAAATGTGGGGTTTGTAGCAGATTGGGGATTGATGGATTCCCTGTCTCCACATGGAAACTGTGAGAAGTGAGGATTTATTGCCTGGTCCTTTGATGCCATGGTCTGCTGAAGCACGGAGAATGGCCATAAGAAGCGGGTTTAGTGTTCTTTTGTGGTAAGTTACAAATGGCACCAGGAATGAGGAAATGTGTCTAATCCTTGTATGGATATCAACTGATTCAGTGGTATGGAGTGAGTTTCTTCATCTCCTTACATCAGTTACTCCATTTTTGAAATCAGGTTGATGACTATCAAGCATTGTTCATTGTTTGAGATCTGCAGTTATAAAATAGGAGCAGCATGGGCAGAGTCAGGATGACAGATGTCCCACATGCACTTTTGGGATCCTGGCCTGTGGCAAGAGCTGTGTGCTGCCCAGATGAGTTATCCAATAGCCCACAGCAGTGGCCAAGTAACCAACGGAGATTATGAAAAATCTAATACTCAGAATTAAAAACTGTGGAAAGACCTCTCCCAAGACTTCCTTATAATTCCTGGTTTGGGGAACATTTTAAATTCATCACCGACATTATTTTTATGCTGCTATTTCCCAGAGCCCTATTCAAGTTTTATGTATTGAAAAGGATAACTGTGTTATCCAAGCAGGTCTTTAGAAATTGATTTCTTTGTTTGATACCCAATAGCTGAAGTCACTTGTAGGTGTTTGGGTTTGGCCATCAACATAAAAATCTGGCTATTATGTATTCAGCACTTATCTAGGTACTGTGTAGTTTACAGTGAGCAAAGGTGGAGTCAGATCCTTTGGATATTGTTCAAGGAATAGCATTTAAAGTTATGCTTGACCCATGCCAATCCTGAGCAATTCCCATCCTTATGGAAATCTCTGTATGATATGACATTTGTTTTCTCTAATCCAGGATGTGCCTTTGTAACCAGAACTTTGTTTTGCACACATATGTATGCCTCTAAAATTGTCTAGTTCTGTCTGACAAACATAAGAAATTTTCAGAATTATATTAATTTTGGGGACACGCATTCATACCTTGGACAAGACTAAATTTGTAAGCCTTGAGGGTGCAAGGTATGGCTTTCATCCTAAATTTAGTTTTATTTTCAATTATGTTGATAAATTTTCTGTACTGATTTCAAAGTCATAGGGCTTGCTTTCTGGATAGTTAAAATTTCTAGAGAAAGGGGGTTATGTATTTTTAAGGATAATAGTAATACTCAGAGTGACACCAGTAAGGGTTATAGAAATAATTCAAGGAGTTGAATTTAAGAATTAAAATCTGACCACACAGAGTCACAAGTGAGGAGAAGGAAAATGCAATTCCTCTCTTATGCTGTCCTCTCCCTCGTGGCCCAGCAGGGTGGGACACCAGACTGGATCCATTACTTTAAGCAGAATACCTCTTCTGCTCCCCAGGTGAGCAGGCACCAAATGAGGATGGGCACTGAGATCTTGCAGTCCCTCATAAATACAGCCTGGTTTCTCTAGGGAACATTTATCTGGTTTTGGCAGTACATACTGTGAGCCTGGCTGTTCCATGCTCTGGGAAAGCCAGTGTGCTTGTTCTCCTCTGCATTCTTACCTGGAGATTGCTTGTGCCTGTTTGTTCCTCGCAGTTTGTTCTGGCAGGCGCTGCAGACGAGGCGTCCGTGCCTTCCTCCCAGAGCAGGAATGGTGTCGTCATGCCTTGCGGAGACTTTGCAATGTGGAGGAACTGGCATGGGGATAAGATCATGCTTGTTCTGTTCTCTGACCTGAAGGAATGTAAACTTGCTGACCTCACAGATCTGCTGATGTTGGCAGAAGCTCTTACCCACACCACCTTGTAATTCAGCATTATGCCTGTTCCTCACCCTGCAGCGTGCTGTGCACACGCTAACAAGTGGTCTTAGGAGAGGCCACCATTCCATGAAGCAGAAAATCAAACTCCTCAGCTGGGCTGCCTGAGGTGAGAGATGGCCCCGAGGTGGCCCAGAGTCCCTCATTCCCTGATAAAGGGCCTGGCTACTGTGTTATTTTCTGCAATGCCTCAGAGGCTGCAGTGTGATGGGCAGCAGAGTCTCTAAGCCCCACCACCTGAGTTCAGGTGAGCTGTGGGGAAATCCTCTTGAACCTTCGAGACACCAGATATCCACCTCCTTAGCTGCCTCCCTGCAGCTCCATCTGGGAGCCCACGTGGAAAGTGCCCCATTAATTCCCTTTGGATCACATTCATTACTGCTTTGACTTCCACATGGGAGTCTGCTGTCAGCAAACCTCACAAGTGTGCAAACTGCATGTGCAGTCTTACCTGAAATCTGTCTTCTCCATGCTCTGTTGCAGCTCAGGTTGACCCCAGAGGCAAATCTGTGACATTCCAGTTGAACATGGTTCCACGTGAAGGTGACATAACCCTCTGTTCCATCGGGGCAGAGAAGGGGTTTCTCAATGGGCTCCACCTCTGAGCAATGCATGGAAGGAACAGATTGTCCCATACCAAACTGCAGTCACTGCTGAGGAAACAAGGAGTTGGAACTAACCTCTTATCATATATCCTCCTTTTTTCCTATAAAATGGGGAGCTGGAGCACCACACTTCTGTGTCATTAGGGAATATGTCTGTGCTGGGATATACATTATTGGGATTTATTTTGATTTTAGAAGCTGTAGCAATATGGCTCATGATTCACATCTGTGGTAGGTTGTAGTAGCAAGAAGAAGCAGACAACTGTTCTTGTATTTGACATTTTAAGTGCTTTTTAGCAATGTTAGTATCCAGACAAACCAACATTATTTTGAAAGCTACTGTGGAAATTCACAAACGATAATATAGCCAGAGACAATTATAAACATGTAAAACAAACAAAGGCGGTGTTTTCTAAACATGAGTCTAAGGTTTCACCACTGGCTCTGCACCATATGCATCCCAGAGGGTCCATGGATGTGCCATAAAGAGCAAATTTCTACATATAGAAAAATTAAAAAAATAGGTCATAGTTACATGCAAAACTAACACTCCTCCTTTAGGGATGACTGGCTGAGCCACATCTTCCCAGGAGCAGCTACTGACTCCAGAGAGGACAGCTGTGGCACCTGGAGCCAGGTCCAATTTTTGTTTGCTTATTCTAGCAAAGAACCTTCTTAGAAAAGTAAGAAAAAGCTCTTTACTCCTGCAAAACTTGTGGCATTATCCCCCATAGCCTTCCTGATGGTGGGAGTCACTGCCAGAACCTTTGCTCAGCTTCCCTCTGAGGAGTTGTCACAAACCCTGGCACTTCTCAATGCAGAACCAAGTTACACCAACACCCCGCTTCAGAATGCAAAGGGTTAGTGCTGCAGGAATAAATCCTCTTTCTTAGAAAAAGAACCATAGAATGGAGCAGGGCAATTGAAAGATTTAGTCTTGTTCCCGCTGCAAATGCTTGAAATGCATAAGACTGAATTATCTAGGGAGCATGACAAGGGTCTGACAAAACCTGGCATTTTTGATTAACAGCCTCTATTCAGCTGTCAGAATCAGTGGGTCTGCTGACGAGACAGAGTGATGACAGATCAGCCTCCACTGACACCCTGTGTAGATGCCTTTAAAGTAGTAAAACATACATTTAAAAACTTACACTTTGGCATTTACACAAAACTTGAAGTCTCCCACAGGTACTCAGATTTGTATCTCAATTACAGATTCCCTTCAGCGAGGCTAGCAATTTAAAACCCTAAACCAAGTCAAACATGATGCAAAAATGATTAATTATTGAACAAAACTATCATCATGACCGTGAGCATCTGTGGATAAAAAGAGTTTCACCACCACAAATACAAAATTCGAAGTGGTAAGACCTAGAACGAGCTTGGAGGTTTTTAAATTAGCCAGAGGAATAATGGATTCGGGAATCACTACAATGACTTAACATGGCTTTGGGTGCCGTTGTTTTGTTTTGCAGTGACAGAGACTTCTGCAGGAGAAAAATGTGGAATCCCAGCCTAAAATCTCCCATTGCAGAGGTGAAGTCTTTAACCTCATTTGGAGGCAGGCCTGGCCAGCTGCTCAGGAATGCTGCTGAAATGCAGCAGGGAGAGCAAGCATTCACTGCAGGTGTGCCAACGGGGATCGCTGCTGGGGCTTCCCAGGGGGAGCTCAGAGCTGGCTTTGGCAAGGAACCTCTCTGTTTCCTGTGGGATACACGCCTGGCACGGACAGGGCAGCGGTTCTGCCTGAGCAGACTAAGCCCCACAGTGCTAGGCTGGTCCAGAGGTAGCAGGTGAGTTGCCCTGGGTGTGTTCCTGTCCGTGGGGCACAGTGGGTGCAGCAGCTCTGAGCTGTCTGTGCCCCCACGACACCCTCACTGCAGCTGCCCTCTCGCTTTGAGGAGGTTCTTGTTCAGAGAAGGTTCCATGAAGGACCTTTTCCTTGTAGGAGAAAATAAATGTACTCAGGCCAGCCTGGGACCCCTCATTTTAGGAGAAGCCTCAGAGCCCCTGGGAAAGAGCCTTCACCCATGTTGTGCAGGCTGTGGATGAGAGTTTCTGTGCCTCTGACTGCATGGAGAGATGAGCGCTGTCACGTCTGGAGGGAAAGGGCACAGAGCACTTCCAGCTGAGGGCACCAGGCTGGGCATTCCCTCCCTGCCAGGGAGCTCTGATCTCCATGGCTTGCTCAGGGACAGGAACCACAGCTGAGTACAGAGCCAGTGGGAAAAGCACTCCTGGCAGCAAAGAGAAAGCAAGAAAGTGAAAAGTGGCAGAAATAGACCTTCAGGTCAGCACGTGTCTCCAGAGCACCCCTGAGAGTGAATCCATATGCCCTCAGCCAACCCATTCCTGAGCTCCTCAGGGTAACCTGGCCTTCCCTGTGCACACACGAGCCCTGAGTGAGCACCTCTTGGGCAGCTGCTGGCAGATTTTGGACCTGACCTCTGAACCCATGACCAAAAATAGGTGGGTCTGGTTTCCCTAGTCATCATGTTCAGTGTTACACATGCCTTGGTGATGAAGCACTGTAAAAGCATGAGTGTGCTCACATTCACTGATAAACCAGTCATGCAAAAGGTTCCTTGGAGTAGGAATTCAGCAGAAGGCATTTCACATCTGTCAGAAATAATTCAGGGGTGTGGAATGACTAATTGGGAACTGCATGAATAATCAAGACTTCATTTTCAGCAAGACAAAGCCATGAACTTTTGTCTGGCACATCAGTAGAGAATATGTTCCCTTCGTTAAGGCCCGTGTTCTGGAGACTGATGCTAGCAGAAAATACCAGAAGGAGGGATTTTTTGTGCTGATCACAGTGTCCACTTTTAAAGTGTAGCTCTTAAGTCTAGTTAAAGAGCTGTCTGAGAAGCAGTTGATGCTATGTAAAAACAAAAATAAAGGATTAAACTGAAAATAAAGACATAAAATTTGAGACTAAAATAAAAAAAATGGAAAATTAAATCAGCCTAAGCTGAGGTTTTTAATATTAAGCAAGGATTCCCTTTCCCTTGGCCAAATCTAGAAATTTGCCAACCATTCCATTCGTGTGGAAATGAGGAGCTGGGTTTTCTTTTGTTTTTACCCTAGGCTGCAGAGCAAGCAACAATAGGAGTTGTGCTGGTCTGAGGTTTTGATTTGCTGTGCCGTGTAAGAACAATGATGAGAAAGGGGGAAATGGGATCATTTTCCTTCTGGCCTGTGCCAGCTCCAGAGTCCAGGCACCCTCCAGGGTCAGGTGCTGGGGCCTCAGCTTGTTCCATCAGAGCTCCCAGGTGCTGCATCCCTGCACACAGAGCTGTAAATGCTGGCAGCTCTCAGGGATTGCAGACTTGGCAAACAGGATAGATGGCAGGAAAAGCTTTATAAGCTGAGCACAGGCTGGGAGAAAGCTTGTGAACTCTGGTCTGCTATAGAACACACAAAAGCATGTCAAACAATGGATATTGCTGCATTTCTATGTATACTGAGGTCCAGAAATTGTCATTACAGATAAGGTATTTCCAGTATATTTTTTCATTATACAAATTGTAAAATACCTCCCAAAAGTACAGGTTAGGTGACAGGACCTGTTCTTTCAAGTACAGGGCTAAATCCATCATGACACAACTTGCCAGCACTTCATATAATTTGATTCCATGTGAATCACACGGAGAGTGAGAGCTCTGAGAGCTGAGTCCATGAACAAAGCATGTCTTGGAGCAGGGTGAGGAATGCAGAGGTGTGTGCTGGAAGGTGTGGCAGGTATGTGTGAGCTGTTAATGACCATGCTGAAGAAATCCTGATGATGCAGAGGTGAAGGAGTCTGAGAAATGGAGGAGTCCAGATCCCATGCTGTAGGATCAGCTGAGGGGTGGATCTGCATCCACAGCAGCTGGTACAGATTCCTGGCATGGAAATGCTGTTCAGCAGCAGCAGCAGCACTTCTGAACCTCACATGCTAGCAGCAGGTATGACCCTGCACTGGTATTATCTTAATTTTCAAAGACTTCATCATGCTTTTTAGAGACATCCTATTTTTCACTTGAGACTTCACTAGATAGGGCACTCCATGGCTACTACCACTGTCCTCTGAACCAGCCTCTCTGAAGGTGACCTCCTCCAGTTACAAGTGAGCAAAGGCAGAAAAATTAGAATTTAATGGATGGAACAGTGGATGGAGCATGGATAAACCCAAGAAGTTTAATAGGTGAAAAGTGGCAAAACCACTGACTAGCATTTGTAAAGCTGAAATGCAAAAACCTTAAGTTCTGTAACTTGAAAAGTACCGAGTCTGTCTAGTTGTGAGTCGAAACTGTGGCAGGATCTGCCCCTGCCTGCTCAGCCCTGCAACTGAGGTTCTCTTTCTCCACGTGATGGGCTTCAGCTGTAGCACCATCCTGACATGAGCACAGCTCAGCCTGCCCACACTGCCTCGCTGCAAAGAGCCTCTGAACTATGGGTGGGCAACATCCACCAAGATTGATTCCCCCAGAAAGTTTGGTGCTGCTCACCTTATTTACTCCAAGGGCTTTCTCAACCCCCTGGAGGTCCCACACCACTGGGGAGGGCTGGAGCCAGGTACACCTTGCTGGGGAAGTGACCTGTGGGCAGAAGTGATCCTCCCTAACACCTGGCACCTGTCCCACCCAGGCTTCAGCTGCGTCTCCTTCAGCCACGGGGAGGCTGGGGATGAGGCTGCTGGGTGAACAGCGTGGTCCTGGCCCTGTGTCCAACCAGCACTACGTGAGCAGGCATGCCACCAACAAACATCCCAGCAATTCCAGGCAGGAGATATGCCATGTCCATCTCATCTTGATTTTTGATATTTTTCCACCCTAAACACTTGGCTAGGTGATTGTTGTTTGGCTTTTTAAATTTTTCTGTGTGGTAACTGAAGATGTTTACTACCAGGAGTTTTGTCTCCTTCAGAGCAGCAGCCTCAGCTCCTGGAAGCAAGCAGCTTCAGTGGCTGCACTGGGCATCTACTGACCTCAGGCCTTATTCTTTCACCTGTTTTGTCACTGACCTGTGTCTGCTGGTGCTGAGAGATTGAATACATGATG